CGCTAGGCCGCTAGAAGTCACGAGGGTTGCCCAGCCCCTTGCAGACAAATATATATATATATATATAATATATAAAATATATCTCTTCCAATGACTCTCCTCTCCTCCGCTGTGTTTGCAAGACAGGACCCGAATTTAACAGACTAGAATTGATACATTTTTTGTTTTGTTCGGGTTGGGCACCTTCATCATGCAGCACGCTACTTCCTCTCTTCGTTACAAGTTGATTTCAAGAGCGCTGCTGCCTTTGACAAGTGAAAAGTGTATGTTTTCCACCATGCTGAAGTGTTGGTGCTTTGGTCCGATGTAACCACTGCTTGTACGGCTTGATGGCCTCAGGGATGAAGATTGCACGGTTGGCTTCATTTCGGCCCAAGGGTATGTGAAAGGAGTTAAGTGAGCTTACGCTCTGAGTCGCGGCACCCCTCGTTTTCGGGGGAGTGTGCATTGCCACAGAATGGCTGGCACTCTAAGCACGTTGGACATTTCCAACTTGGGAAGTTCAGAAGAGCGTATCGCAGCTAGAAGGGCACGGGCTGAAGCCAAGCTTAAGGCAGACAAAGAAGAGGCTGAAGGCAAGAAGACAAAGAAGGATGATGCAGCTGAACAGGCCTTTTGTGGGGAATTCAATCGTGGTTTAAGTGTCTAGGTCAAGCGGAACCAAAGGGTCATTTTCTTCCAAGGTTTATCTGATCCGAGTCGTATTCTGATGCATTCTCAATTCTCCATCTGTTTCCTCCATGCCCCTTGAGGTGTCCTTAGGCAAAGAGCAATACGGCAAGTCCGTCGCAGAGCTCGAGCGGTTCCGGACCGAGACGTGGGATGAGCTGACGAGCATCCTAGTGCGTTTTGATGACCAGGAGAACCAACGTCGCATCGTGGAAGAGAACAACCGCTTAGACCGCTACGAAGCTTTGCAGATTGAAGCTGTGACCAGCGGCAGGAAGAATGCAGCCATCGAAATGAAGTGGGCTGACTTACTGAACATGGACATCCCACAGGAGCTCAATGACCAACTTCAGTTTCAGAAGAGTGCTTGCAGACAGATCATAGAGTCCAAGGATCGGCGCATTGAGGACTTCAAGACAGAACTGAAAAACAAAGATGAAGAGTACATCAAGATGCTGAAGCAGCAGAGGTTGGATATTACAACTTTGATCTCCAAGATGCGGGAACAATACCACTCACTAAGGCAACACTACGAACAGCAGCTAGAAGACATTGAGCAAGCCTTCGAAGAAGAAAGGAAAGAAATGCTTCAGAAGAATAAGGCAAGGCTCCGTTTCGACATGTTTCGACTAACCGGTTGCACCCGACATCCGAGAAAGCGCGCCAAGAATAGCCAATAGGCCAATAGGCCAATAGGCAGGGCCAAGTAGACCCCTCTTTGCACATTGCCAGGCAGAGATTGAGGCACTCTTTGAGATGCGCCAGCTGATGGAACAACAAGAATTCCTCGAACGGCGGCAGGAGATGAGAGCCACACGCTGCACCCCCATGGAAAGATGCCCGAGAGGTACTTCACGGTAAGTAAGACGGCGATATATAGGAGCAAGGACGCTACTAGGGGCTCCTGGCCTTACTACGAGGAACAAGAAGCTACTAGTAACAAGGGCATCGCTACTAGTAGCTACTATTTAGGAACACAAAGTGATTGAACTGTATATAAACATCTTTGCGAGACTGCGACTTGTGACTCCACAGCCTCAAGTGCTTTGGTCCATTTTGGTCCATTGGTGTGAGCCTAGCAATCCTATAGTCTCAACGAAGGCTTTTTAGTTTGTACCAGCTGTCAGGAGAGGGAACGTGGCTTCCAACAGCAGATTGAAGAGCTCCGCACAGACAATGCTGATGGCTACAACAAGTGCAAAATTGCTCTAGAGAAGGGCATCCAGGAGCTCGCTGTTAGAGAAATGATAGGGCAATGCTGTGTGTGTCAAGAGCGGGCCCTGCAGTTTTGCGTGCCACATGTATTCACGTTTTTTTTATTGTTCTTTGGAGTTTGTCGCTCTCCTTGGAACGGCCCTGGTTCTGCAGGAGCTGGAGCAGCACTTGGAAAAAAATGCTGGCCACGTACCTGCTCAACAAGGAGACCAGTCTACACGAATCTACATATAGCATGCATGCCCACTACTAGCCTGCCACTGTTCCTGCTGCAGAGTAGTTTTTTTTGAAAATGTGTGAGGGGTTGAACACCTACCTGCGAGGAGAAGCTGGAGTACAACTTGCAGGTCCTCTCTGAGAGAAACAAGGAGCACACAGCAATCCAATCTTCATACAAGAATCGGCTGAACCGTCTCCGGGAGACCCTGAACACCCTGATGAGTCGATACAACACTCTCGACCAGAAGTACAAGACCCACAACCACGAGCTGACGGAAGAGTACAAGCGGGTGACAAAGCAGTTCAAGGATTTGCAAGTGCCTCTCTTAGATTGACAAGAAGCTACTACTAACAAAGGGCATCGCTACTAGGAGCAAGGACGCTACTAGGGGCTCCTTGAACAAGAATTTGCTAGTAACAAATTAGCACAGACTGCATGAAGCAAGCACATGTTTGCACGGATCTTTCGATGCGTCGGTAGACTCCCCTTTGGGGCCGTTTGCTGAGGAGAAGTTTCAACACTTTGAGCAGGCCGATGAGAAGAAGTTCCGGGAAGTGTGGGAGATGAATGAGGCAGAAGTACGTGGCCTTATGACAAAGGTGCTTGAAGCAGATCGGCTCCTGCACGAACAGCAGCTAGGCCATGAGTGGGTCCCTCCAAAGGAGGAGCTGTTGCAACAGGAGCTGGACACTTTTTCTGAGTCTGGCACCACAACCGGTAAGAGCACAGCATTGGAGTCTGCAGATATGGGACAATCTGATTCCGGCAAATTCTCAGCGACCAAAGTGAAGAAGGTCTTGGATCTCATTAAGGATGAGACTCAGTTCTTGCTTGACATGAAGGTCCGTGACCAATTGGCTGAACTTCCGCCAGAGCAGAGGGATGTGCTGCAGATTGATGCCTTGCTTCGATACATTGGGGTGGAAGGTCAGCAGGATGTAGATCTTTTGGTGCAGGTCTTCTACAATGGGCAGGAAGAAGACGATGAAGCGCTCATGGTGGAACCAGATGATGTGCTACAACATTTGAAGAACTTCATCCAGGAGAAGGAAAATGCACGAATTGCTGACGTAGCCCCCGACAAGAAGAAGAAGGCGCGCACACAACAGCTTGGTAGCGAGAGCGAGGCAGACCGGAAGGCTCGACGACGACGTGAGGAGCGCAAGTTCTGGGAGCGTATGGGCCATGTGATCCCTGACATGAACTTCCGTGTTTGGAAGGCACTGGACGTCTTCCTGAAGCGCTACTATGAGCTCTTGCAGCGCCGCAGCAAAACCATCGACTCCGCAGTGGCCATGCAAAAGCAAAACGAAGAGTTGAAAGCTTTGTTGGACCAATACCTCGGCTCCAAGGTCAATGAAGAACTTCAAGTGCCACCAACACACGTCATCACAGTGGTCTCCCAGCCATGAGGATGGCATATGCATGCTTTTGCAAGTCAGAGCTGACCGGCCGGCTGAAGAGAAGCAGCCGCCCTTGTTTCACCTCAATTCGGCTTTCCAAGCTACTGCACAGCACGACTTGAGCTGAAAAGCCCGCGTGCAAGATGATGGTTGGGCACATGTTGGTGCCAAAAATGCTGTTGAAATCTTTCGACATGTTTCTGTTCTCAAAAGGCTTTGCGAAAGTGGAAAGCACGAAAGAAAGCGTTGAGTTAATCCCTTCGAGGTTTTGAGCTGATCAAGGAGCCAAATGTCAGGGTTTACGTGATTGAGCAGAGCAGGCGGTTTTCGGGCGCGCCGAACCGACCAACCATGGTGTGTGAGCTGGAGTCATTGTGACACGAAACTGCTCAGTGAGTCTCTGCCTTTTCAAGACAAGCGACACTCAGTCATCAGTGAAACCAGTGCTTTCCAGTCATCATGACCTCATCTCAGAAGCCGAACCCCAAGCAGCGGCTCGTTCAAATGCAGCGCTTGGAAAATGGAGTTTGCTAATGGCAGGTGCAGGCCGATCATTTATGATTTATGATATGTTTTTCAATATTGAAAACTTGGGTTTCTCAGCCATTGACCCATGAGATGGGGGGGGGCAGGGCGGTCATTTATTGCATGCAGACATCCATGGATTCATTGCAGCCATTGGCTTTAAAGTGGAACAATATCACCAGATCGATAGGGGAAACACGTATTGGTGAGGGAGTTGTTACTCCGTCAGAAACAATTTGATGGAACAAAAAAAATAGTTAATGTTCTCAAAGACAATCCCTTGTTGGGATTGATTTCTCCCACCAATTTTGGCGAATATCGATTCTATTCTACATCACCAATTAATTGGACATTGACCGTATCTTGCAACATGAGCGATGAACAGCCGCTGTCGCAGCAAAACGATGAAACTATAACACAAAATCCACAGTTGAATGCACAAAATCGCAACTTGCACAAGTGAGGTTGGAGTGTCCTTTCGATGCCCCAAGTTGCCCAGAGGAATTGTGCACCTTTTGTGTTTCCAGTTTAGATTGGTGGGCACTTTTTGCAAGGAGGTTCACTCCACCGCCGCCTATGTGCTGGGTGGTTTAGGTTGCGTCCTCGTTTAGAGTCCCTTTTGAATTGCATCATCCAAACATGTTCTTTATTGTGTAATTTTTGTTTGTTTTTGTGTTTTGCAAGGAACGCTGGTGGCAGTCATTCTGACCATACTCTCACTACAAGCGGTCCCGAATTTGCACTATGGAATTAGGTGCCCCACTGTCATATGAAAGAGATGGTGGGTTTGCACGTTGTTTTAAAGAGAAATCCAAGTCCTTGAGGTACAACAACGCGCGTAAGTGGGCGGATGTTGACAACGTGTTTGGCTTAGCTCTGAAGAATCGAAGGTGCAATTGAACCTGACACTGTTGCAAGAGTTATTACAAGATGATACAGATCATAAGTTTCAGAATAGGCAAAAACCCCATTGTATGTGTAGCCATTTTGGTCCGTCAATACATTCGTTACATTTGTGTTTGTTTGAGATGGGGATTGAGGTCTACACAGCAGGCCGATACTTTATTGGGCCGTGGAATTCCTTTGTGAGCTGACCCCAGGAAGCACAGCTTAGCACCGCGTGAAACATTGAGTGTTCATGTAGTTCGCAAAGTTCAAATGTGTTCCTTCAAATCTTGCTTTTATGCAAAGACACTTGGAACCACTTGGATACTCTTTCATAAATATGTTTGCGTCGGACGAGGCTGTTCCCCGCTTTGGTGCAGAACGTTGAGTTTTCAAACACGTTCGGCGCCGCAGACTTGCAGCCTGAAGACTTTTGTGAATGAAGAAATGGCCGAATAAGCTACTAGTAGCAAGGACGCTATTTGGTGGATGCCAGCACAAGTAGGTTGGAGCCCATCGCGAGGAACAAGGACGCTACTTTGGGCCGAGGTTTAACCTGGCGCCAAGCGGCGATCGCTATCCAGCGCTACACACAAGGCCACGGCGACGTAGTGGCGACATCTGGCGGTCTTCGCATCATGTGTTCCAAGGACCAAAGAAGGCCTGGCCTTGAATCTGGAGGCGGCTTGGTCTAATAAGAACGCCACACAAGAGGAGAACCCTTTAAAAGGCTTTGGACCAGCCTTTCTAACCAAAACACTTTCTTTTTGAAGAGTCAATCCAAGATGACGTTCCCGCAAGGTGGCCCTGCAGTACAAATTGAGGCAGGCAGAGGCACCGCTGAATACTGCATGTTGATCCAATTGGGCGACGGGGATGAGACGAATTACCGTATTTGCCACGGGCAAAAGGTTGGCAAGCTCTACACAGAGTTCAACGTCGACTTCGAGGTCTTTGTTTGCAAGATGATTTCCCAGTATCATGCAGCTTGTGCCTGATCACAAACGATAGTTTGAGCAGAATTTGAGCAGATTTGAACCATGTTTAGGCTTGGGCGACTTTGAGAGATTGAGACATGCCAGGCCTTCTTCGTTAGCACCATCCGTGAAAGCGTTATCAAGGCCTATACTTTAACAGCTTGATGTAGAGGAAGGTCTATCAACAATGCTTGCAGCATGTTGTCGGCAATGTTTTCCTTTCTTTTTTCAACAAATCGTGGCATCCCGCCCAGCCGACCTTACTCTGAAAGGAACGTTGCAAGCTTGGAATGTTCTTTGCACGTTTTCTTTTGGTGAGAGCCAGGTGGCAGCCGACTACGAGGCATACCAGCTTTGGGATCAGCGGAAGGAGGTGGGAGCGCGGAAAGGCAGGAAACTGCTGTCCGACTGAGCGCAGGTTGGTGATCAGATGCAAAGGGAAGTGAACTCGGTCCTCAACAAAACGTGACCTCGGGCCGCCTCGGGCCGCAAATTAAGTGCTAGGAGGGCTTTTGGCATCGCTACTAGGAGCAAGGACGCTACTAGGGGCTCCTGGCCTTACTACTAGGAGCAAGGACGCTACTAGGAGCAAAGGGCATCGCTACTAGGAGCGATCGGACGCTGGTTGGATTGAAGCTGTTTGTGGTGCAATGATGTGCACTCATACCGACTCATACCAGGTATGCTGAATGTCACGCCGGCAAGTTGTCAGAGTGACACTTGCTGTTGCATCGATTCTGAGGGAGACGTGCCTTGTGCTACCAGGTTGGGGTCTACAATTGTTGGACATTGCCCTGCCAAAGGCCTTCGATCAAAGCATCGTTCAAACGCAGGCGCTGATTAGATTCTTACATTTCAAAGGTAAACGATACGAGAGAATAAAATACGACTGCAAGACTTGTGGCCCCGGGTATATACAAAAAAATATTTGGTCTATTTGCAAAACGATCAGAAGTGATTTCATCAAGCAAGTGAAGACTTGTTTCCGGTTGAAGGTCTAAACTGCTAAGCTGCTTCATGCGTTTTGCATCTTCTTGCGCTTCCATGCCAGGTGCAAAATCAAGCCATCAGCACAGAGAAGTATGCACAGGAGAAAACGCAGTTGAGCAGAAACCATCAGAACCCTTGGAGCTGAGGAGCTTGTTCTGCTGCTTCGTGTCGCAAGTGAACACGTGCAGAATTGCAGAGCTCAAACATATTAAGCAAGCAGCAAGTGTTCACATTCACACTTTGTTAGCCTGCAAATTAGGGCAACAACCACGGTGCCATACAGAGTATTTTGTTGCTTTTCGAGTGTTGCATGGGATAGCACTACGATGCACTATCTACCTTTACGTTAGGAAGTTCACAGTGAACTTAGGGCAAGATTGCTCGTTTCGATGTGTTTAGTGTGACTCCATGGCGTGGGATGAACGAGTCCCCCAGCTGTGTGAAGCTCAGCTTCGTTGAACAGAAAAAATGAAGATAAGACATGCAACATGAAGAGTTCGAAGGCAGCATCGCTTGACACAGACAATGCACGTTTCTTTGTTTGTTCGGCACAGAAACCTCATGGATCACGGAGCGGTGTAGTGGCACAAGCTGCGAAGTGATGCACTCCAGGCGAGCGGTCACATTGGGGGCTTTTCGACCGCGTGGTCAAAAAGGCAACTCAGAGAAATGAAGTGTTATTTTGTTTATTTTGTTTTTGTCTTTTTGCCCGCTCCCCGCCTCCCCACTTAATTAAGTAGGCACCTACCTAATTAAGCAAGGAACTGAGGTAGCTAGTGGCTACAGGACGCTACTACATGGACGCAGGATAGCTCACGCTCGCACTAATGATTTGGTTCCTAGATGTTTAATTTAGGGAAACTTGACCTCCCGACGGCATCAGATCTTTGATTGCGAATTCGAAGCTGTAAACCACCGCAGACGTTTGAACGAACACTACAGGTCTTCAACAGTGTTTCAGTCGCTTGAGCAGTTAAATGCTTCGATCCAACTCAGGTAAAGACCTTCGACCAACAGCAGCAGGCAGTTCCGAACAAATTTGGCACTTGCATGGGCGGAATTTTCACACACTCCGACTGATTGGAGAAATGCTGTGGCTCTGCTCGCCTACTAGGCGGTCGCTTATCGCAGCCTCACGTACCATTGTGGTGCCAAGATCGTGGAGTTTCTCCAGCCCCTAGAAGGTGCTGGTACAAGGCGACCGACTTCGGGTACCTTCAGGTTTGTTCGGGTTTGAAGTGGTGTGAGGCCGGAAGATGACATCGGAGGACCAAACACCATGCGGACCCGTCTTTAGGTTTTTGGTTCTTTTGGTTGTTACTATCACTCGCATCGGACGGTCGTGTCGATGGTATGCCGGATACACTTGACCGTGCATACACAAGAACTCTGTACACGTGCAAAGCTCACACCGGTAGCGGAGCTGCCAATCCGCGACCGGGATGGACCACGTCGCGAGTCTCCGATCTGCACCAATTCCCCAAAGGGAAGCAAACAAAATGAGCCCCTCTGTGCTAATGAACGGAGCTGCGCCCTCGATGCATCCTTGTGGGAGGATACGGCCGCAAGCTCCGAGCTTTGTTAAAAATGCCGGGGAAAGGCTGGGTCGCCTCATCTTTCTGGAGGGCCAGCATTGCTTCATGGATCCTGTACACGTCACGAAAGGTCACAGCAATGCTTTCAGCAATGCGGAATCCGTTTGGAATGCGACCGCAAGTTCACAAAATGAGCTCGACTCTGCAGGGGCCACAAGCCATCGCTGAGGCAAAAAAAATTCAGAACTTGTCTCCATGTTTCTGTTCCATGTTTCCAAGTTTTCGGAGGTGGGTGGTGAAGCGGAATCTTCGGCACCCTCCGAAAACGTGTGTTTTGCGTGTTCCAATGCCATTGTGGGTATAGAACACACCCTTGTACCGGGGTCAGAACAGCAGGAAATTCTGCTGGTTGCTCAAGCTCTTCTTTCTGAATATCTTCTGTAGGTAACAGCAAATGAAGTTGCGTGAGCCAGCGCTGGTGTCGAAGGATCTCAGTCTCAGCTCTGCACTGAACTTCCTGAATCACTGGGGACAAACGATGCGCCAAGCTCCTAGCAGCATTGTCCGCAATGCGATTGTTGCGGATGTGAATCACCTTGGTGTTGCACTTTGATGCAAGCTCGTCTGTAATCTGCGGGAGTGGGACTTGTTCCAACTGGTGAGCTGGAATCCATTCAGCGGAAAATGGCTGCGGGCGAATCGCCTTGCACCTCTGGACAAACTGCTGAAATCTTCTCCACCAGCTAAGACATCGCCACGTGACATCGATGCGGCCAACGATTTCGCCGTAGATCTTTGACTTCACAAGCCACAACCCTTTGCATAAGATTGTAAGATTGGCAGATTGCCACTACAAGAAGTCTTCAACCTGTTTTAGTCTCATGATGTGTTACATATTCGCTTTGGAGTTGCCCTTGGCAGACTCATGCACGGCGACTTTGCCCGAAAGATCTCCCCCTCCGAAGAAGCCTTGGCCTTTTACATTCTCAAGCGCCGAGACCTTAGCAGATAGCAAAAATTCGAATTGATAATTGTACAATGCACCGGGCATTGGGATGAAGAACGAGTTTGCATAAGTAAGTAGCATATGGAGCTCTGAGATTTGCCTTTGGTGGGACTGTTTGCTCTGAGACCCTCGGATCTTCCATCAACGCAAAGTCCTGGTGGTGGGTGCGGGACTGGGCCTGGCCGGCCTAGTTTGCGCCACTTGTACAAAGGCAGAGCAGGCGAGAGTTGTACCGGGAAAAGGCATGAAAAGACATCAAAAGGTCCAGCTCTTCAACTTCATGGTTTGACCTGCGCTTTGATGTTCTGTTGAGCAGCCTCAATAGACGAGGTCAAAGGTTTTTCTTCTCTGAAATTTGTGCGAGTATTTAGCTCATTCTGCTGTGCAAGGACTTCAATTCCGGACTTCAATTTCTTTTGTTGCTTTAACAAATGCATATTGCGCAGGTTGTCTTGACAGATGGTGATCCTGAGGTACGCACAGATACACATGGGCATGGGCATGGGGTAATCAACAAACAAGTGTTGTACATTATATTTAATACTAATATTGTATTGCCTGCCGTTTTGACGTCGTCATTTGACTTGTCATGTGAGTTTTTGAGAGCGCAATTCACAAGGACTCGTGGGAAGATGTCAGCATGTTGAAACGTAGATTCCGATTGAGAGAGAGAGAGAGAGCGGCGAGAGAGTTAATTTACAGTAGATGCTCACACATTGTGCCCTTGTATTGGCAGGTTGTGAAGCTCTTGGAATGTAGCTTGGAACTGAACAAGGATACCGACACAGCCTCTCTGAAGGTTCAGCAACTGCTGTGGGCTGGGACACCCAGAAGATCTGACCCAAACTGCTGACGAAAGCGGCCAGAACGACATCGACCGAGGAGAGAAAGGACTCGTGGCCAGAGCGGGGGTCCTTTGATATGGTGCTGGGTGCAGATGTCGTTTACCTGGAGGAGCGAGTCGCAGAAATACATGGTGCCGTAGTACCAGTAAGTCTGAGTATGTGAATCATCGCACACTTGCCTTTTTTTTTCATCCGTTTTGCTACGGTTCATTTGTGTGTCTTCAGAATATTAAAGCCTATCTCGCACAGCCCAGCAATGTGCAGGATTTGCATGCAGCCTTACTGGACATGATGGCCCGAGTGCTTCGTCCAGGTGGTGCCGCACTTGGAGCTGCTACGCTGCTACATGTTCGAGTAAAACATGAACCAACTCTGTCGCATCCTGTTCACCGGACCTGACACATTAGTATCTCCATCACAAAGCACTTTTGGCAGCACGCCACATCACATGGAATGGTGAAGCGCAGTTATTTTGTTGGGTTTTGCTTTGATCAATTTGTTGAGGCCAAGTTCTGCTCTTTGCCTCGAAGCGCCATGGATCTCTAGACAAGTTCATAGCCAGCTCCAAGTCCACTTTCGGAAGCGTAGAGGACTGGCTGCAGCCGGACATTTAGTGAACGGTTCGTTTTCAGTCGGAATCGACTTTTTGAATGTTAACAAGATCGGGCAAGATCCTGATGCAGTTGGACCACTTGTATCATAATTAGTTATTAGTTACAGCATGTTATAGCCGCCATATTGTGCGTTTGTTCTTTTTGTGCATCCTTTTTGATAGGTCAATTGCAATTCGTTTAGCATACAGACTTTAGTTGTGGAGGTCTCAATGGACTATGACTTGGAGGTCGAGAAAGCGATTGGTCGTTCCTCGAAGTGCTTTCCGGTCCTTGTGAAGATCTCCACACCGCCTGAGGAGCGACGGGAGATGAGCGAGAACTTCAATGTGTGTTATGAAGAAAATGATAAATAACGATAAATAACTGGGTACGCTCTATAATGAAATTCGTTGTCAGTAAGTCTGGTATACGGTAATATACGGTATGGGTGTTTAGACATTTTTAGACTTTAGCATTCTAAGAATTTCTAGAATAATATACGGTATGGGTGTTTAGATATTTTTAGGCTTTAGCATTCTAATAATTTCTAGAATTGTATTTCTAAGATAGATCTCGCAAGCCACACGGCTTCACGGAGATTCCCAGGGGGGAAGAGAGCGAAGTGGTTCAGCGGCTTTGCCAACACTTCGCAGAGCTACATGAGGAGCACCAGCGACAGGCTGGAGTTCTCTTCTTCGCTTCATGGTTTCAGTTTTAACAGATCCAATGATCGTGAGAACAGATGGATTCTCCAGTGACTCAACAAGTGACACGACCAAAACAACATAATGAAGACAGCTTCCATACAAGGGCCAGGGTAGCAAAGGATACAGTAATGTATCCAAGGCAGCATGGCGTCCGAATCAAAGCACCATAGAGGTATGCGGAGGCGGAAATGCCAAGAGCAATTTGGACCACGCAGAGATATAAAGACACCTGGGAAGGAAGTGGTCGCAGATGAATTTGTGAAGGTCTTGCGGAGCGTTTTTGGAAGTAGGTTGGAGGCCATCGCTAACATGGCGCACATGCCCAGCTCTGCTTGAAACACTAACTTGTAGCCTACCTCGCCAGGGCCAATTGCAGCAATTCTATTGGCAGTGTCCAGCCAGGCCAACATAATCTATCCTTTCAATTGCTGGCGAGCAAAGCAGTTGTTCCAAGCCATGCCTTTTGACAAATCAACAGTTAGAACATAGAACGGAGAAGAAAAGCACGGAAAGAAGGAAGGGAGGAGAAGGAGAAGGGGAGGGACATGGTAACTTTGGGCTTGTTTTGCACCATTTGGCACGCGACATGCGGTCACACCGGAGGCATCTGAAGCTGTGCAGCGGCAACGGCGACAGCTTTTGCGGCGTCGCGCGCGGAGCGAGTCACTGCTGATGCGTCGAGAGCAGCGTTTGGCGAGGCAGCCGGAGGAGGCGCGAACAGCTTGGTGCAGGGCAAACCAATGACAAGCAACCTACGACCGATGGCCTCCATCCTAAAAGCGATGGCCTCCAACCTAATTAATAGCGATGGCCCAGGCCTTCAACCTAATCGATAGACAAACCAATGACAAACAATGGACTTGGAATGTAATTAGTGTTCTTTCTTGACGAACAACAGGAGGATGGAGAAGAAGGTAGGACGAACTGTTTTTAACTGTAGATCTGGTATTTGTTGATTTGTTCTATTGCTGGGAGAGAGGACAAACCTTGTGAACCATGCGTTCAAAATCCACACAATTTCACGGAAGAAAGCGTGGTATTTAATCAGCATTTGGTAGATTGGCGGCCATCACGTCCATTGAGACTGTTTGACTTGGAGCTTCGTAAAATATTTTGTTGTGAAATATTGTTGACAGGAAATGCCAGCAACACCAGAGCCACCACCTCCTCCACGAGTGCCTTTTGTGCCACGGGCAGAGTTGGAAGGCGTGAAGCTACGCAGCTACACCGAAAGATGAGAAAAGAATGACTGATGAGCGTGCTTGAACATATATAGTGATAGTGCAAAAAAACACTAGAACCAAACAGAGATGAAGTCTAAACACCGTAATTAAGGGCCCTTTACTGTTTGTTGGAGCTTTTGCTTGAAAGGACCATTCAGCTTCACTATGCTTCACTACATCATACTACATCATTCTTCTGAAGCCCCAGTATCTCCCTTGATGGTTCAGCCCATAGTAAATTTTTGTGCTCTTCTGCCGCTCCCCAGATACAAAATTCAATCCGACTCTACGCAAGGCCGCTCCGACTGGGGAATCTTTGCTCGCTCCGTTGAGGCAGGTCTTGCTCCCCATTCCAGGAGCCCCGTTCGTAGCGTCCTCTTGTTCCTAGTAGTAGGGCCAGGAGCCCCTACTTGCTCCTAGTAGTGATGCCAGGAGCCCCTAGTAGCTTCTTGCTACTAGTGCAGAACATTTTGGAATTGTCACTAGATTTGAGCAGCATTACGTCCTGCACAAGTGATGGAGTCCATGGAGTAATTCCACTTGATGGAGTAGTGTCCACATTGTTGCAGGTGATTAGTGACGATGTTAAGGAGATGACCTATCAGTGCGGCAAATACGAGGTTGGAAGATGTGTTTTCTGTCACCCCCTGTATTTTGGAGGCAATTGCAAGAAACACTTCTGTTGCAGCGTACCAAAAATACTTGGTCAGTTTATGCGGAGACGGTGTGGGAGGATGTGGAGTTGCCACCAACGTTTTTGACATAATATATTTATAAAATGTTTTGATATGTAGAATATGTATATAACTAATATTGATTTAATCACCCCTATATATATGATGTACAGTAATATACTGACCATATGTCCATCAGATTGAGCCGTCCACCAGGTGCGACTCCGTCGACGGGCGGACTCCCCAAGAGTCACATGCGGTGAAGAAGCTCTCGCAGCGTGGGTGCCGGGGTGAAAGGACGAAACAATCGCGACAAACAGTAGCGAACCTTGTTTCTATTAGCTTCTTGTTACTAGTAAGGCACCTGTTACTACTAGCGATGCACTTGTTCCAAGTAGCTTCTTGTTTCTATTAGCTTCTTGTTACTACTAGTAAGGCACTTGTTACTACTAGCGTGGCACTTGTTACTAGTACCGGAAACATGAATCGCGATGGCCTCCATCCCAAAAGCGATGGTCTCCATCCTAGCAATGAAATACTTTTTCAAGCACTTCAGATGGAAACATTGCAAGCACTTCAGATGTTGCACGTCATGATCAGTCTTTTATGGCCAGAACTAAACCACCAAGACACTTGCTCCGAGATCAGGGAGCTGAGATAGGTTGAAAAAAGCCACTGCTTCGGCTTGTTAGGTAGCAGAATGTTTGTATGATATACTGTTTCGGATGTTTGTTGGCATTCTTCTTGCTTTCCTTACTTTCTTCATTTTGCTACATGCAGCCATTGGTCGAAGCCATAATATAAAGCTATAATGTAATAAAGCCTTGCCCTACTCCCAACAAACATTGAAGCAGACAACCTCCTGTTTGTAGAGGAAAATAGTATCTCGGCAGGCCATTGTCCACTTCCATGTTGTAGGGAGGGTAGGTTCTTGGCTACTCACCTTGGTCTTTGCCCCTTTGTCGCCCAAAGGTGCTGAAGACTTCTCGGGCGATGCGGCGTTCCAGAGTTCTGGAGCTGGGTGCTGGCACGGGCTTGGCTGGACTCTTGGCCGTGCCTTGGTGGACAGGAAGGGTGAGTCAAAGTGCAAAACGTCGATAAGATATCTTGTTTTTTTTTGCAACAAAACGAGTTCATGAAGACCGCAAGATTGGTTTTATGGGAGTTCTCAAGGGTCCATTCGTATTACGGGGTTTCGAGACCAACAGTGAAGTAGCTAAGTCCAAAGCCCGTTGCGGGATTCGTTCTTGACACCCACCAGTCACCAGTTGTTGCCAGAGCTTCGAAGGAGTTTGGACATTTCACGAATTTCAGTAGCAAGATCTGGTAAAATGTCCCAATAGCCACACCAGTGATAATCTGCAGGCTTGCATCAGCAGCAAGCACGTAGAGCTCACTGATGGAGACCCTCATGCAGTCGGATCTTTGGAGGAAGCAGTAGCAATGAACGCTGGCAAAGAAGCTTGGCACATCGAAATGTTGAAAACAGTAACAAGTGCATCGCTACTAGGAGCAAGAAGCTACTAGTAGCTAAGAAGCTACTAGCAACAAGTGCATCGCTACTAGTAACAAAGGGCATCGCTACTAGTAGTAATGCCCTTTGTGTAGCGATGCACTTGTTACTAGTATCTAGAAGCTACTACATCTTTGTTTTTAGTAGCTTGGCACATCGAATATTTTTTGTTGTTTTTAAAGCCCGCTCCTAGGATGGACACCATCGCTATTAGGTTAAGTAGGCTCCTACTCAATTAAGTAAGGGAGAAGTTCGCTACGAGCTACTTAAGCTGCTACACATAGACGCAAGATAGCTCACGCTTCTTCAAGGCAGCAGGGGGAGCTTCCTGGTAGAAACGTGAGCTATCCTGCGTCCAGTAGCTAGTAGCGTCCAGTACCTAATAGCTATTATATAACTAGCTTCCTGTTACCTCTTAGCGGCCTAACCCTCCATCAAGAAAAATAACTGTTTCGCGTTTGGCACAAGCAGACTGGGATCCCATGATTGTTTGGAGGCATCTTTGAGAAGCAGGCAGCTGAAGTTTGGGGAGGTGCCTGGCGTCAAAAAGTTTGATGCTTGACCAAATTGCTTTGACATTGTTTTGTTAGTGAAGTGTTTGTCAATATGTTTTTTCTTTAAAGTTCTTTGGATTGTCTCAGCCTTTTCGCAAAACTGCAAGAAATTAGATTGACCCTGATGGTTGTCCCAGGACTTCATCATTGCATCAGAGATCCTTGAAATGGATGGCTCTCACTCTGCCATTCTGCGAACTGCACGAAAGCTTTTGACGCAGAGCTGCAAGATGCAGAGCGGGTGTCTCTTTTGAAATCTTGTTGAAAGCTTCTTGTTACTATATATATAGTAGTAAGAATGCTCCCAGTAGGCGAGGAGCCCCATTCGTAGAGTCCTTTGCTTGTGCTGAGCAGTGTTTTCTGAGTGAAGCGTTGGACCCAGGAAGTCATCAGGCACCTTTGTCATCATGGCATCAGGTGCTGCAATGGACACCTTTCTTCATGAAGCAGCTGGCGTTTTCCCGAAGATTCAGGTGAAGAGGCCAGGCACTTTACTCTAAAGAGTGATAAGTGCATATTATATTCCAGGGGTGACATAGTGATGAGTATCACTTGGTGATGCAGATTCCACAATGTCTTCGTGGCAGTCCAAAAGCATTCACTACATTACACTTGTTACATCTTGTTACGACAGGCTTTTTCAGTGTCTTTGTGTCTCCCGCACCAGGGAGTACGACGAGACTGTCAGCAAAGCTTTGTTGGGTACTCAGAGAATTGAACGATTTTAAACGTCTGTTTTACATGTCAACTTTGATTCTTGAACTCAGAAGCTCAATGGAACATCGGCTACAGAGCCTGTTCACAGGGATTTGTTGCAGAATCTTTGCATTACCCAGGCACGGCATGCCCTGCCGTCCCAAGCTGGCTCTTTTGCGGCGGCCTGCGCCTGCCAAGCGCAAAGTGCGACAGGCCAGAGCTGCATGAGCCGTGATGAGTCATGAGTGGTCAAGCGGGGAAAGGGGAGATGAGCCGGGAACGAGCAGGGCACAAGGGACAAAGTGGGGAAGAAGGTCTCAATTATCATTTGGCTCATTTTGGATCAGCTCTTTGGTTGCTCACTTGGCAAAGGGAGAAATGAATAGAAAGGAAGTCGGTTGACGTTTCTTTCTGTCCGGTGCCCATGTTGAGTCAGTGTTGAGATGTATTTTGAAGATCCAGATTGCCAGGTTGTCGTTGAAGTGCCTGTCGAGATGGACCTGCAATGCGAAGACCCAGAGAGTGAGGCTCAAAGTCAGGTGGGATTGACAAAAGCATGACAAGCGTAGCACATGATTAAAAAACACACACACATCTCGTTGGTGATCTCTCAACAGGAAGATCTGAAAGACGGAGATGACGACGGGGACGAGGACAAAGAGGTCCCCGGGTGTAGGAGCAAAGGGCGCTACTAGGGGCTCCTGGCATCGCTACTAGGAGCATTCTTACTACTAGTAACAAGAAGCTACTAGGGGCTCCTGGCCATACTACTAGGAGCAAGGACGCTACTAGGAGCAAAGGGCATCGCTATTAGAAACAAAGAGGATTAAGCGTCGTTCCTTTGAGCATCCTCGAGCATCGTCGAGCATCGTGCTCAGGACTCGTCAGAGACCGTGGACGTGGTGGACGTGCGTCCAACGGAGAAGTTCAGCCGCTCCAGCTCAGAGTTCCCTGGGTGCGAAGTAGGGCCTGGTGGCCAGACTGGCCACACACGCCAGACAGGCCCATCTCCATGCCCAGGGTCTCCAGGCTACAGTTTGCCCGGTTTGCAGATGCGGAGTGCCTCTGCTTCGCAGCTCACAAGGCTTGGACAATTTGTTTCAGAAAGTCAGGTCAGAAGTTCAGAAGATTTTGGAAAATTAAGATAACACATACAACATCAAAGAAAAGCATACAAAATAGTTTCCATGACGTTTCCACATCCCCCCCTTTGCTTTGGCTGCGGCTTGGCATTTCCTTGTTGTTTTGCTTTCTCTTGACAATGATGCCGTTTTCAGGCTTCCCTAGTTTCCCCTTGGGCCGCTAATTTCGAATTTCCCCACATTTCTGTGACAGGCACAAAGCTCAGAAAGAGGCACAGTGATTCGCAATTTGAAGATTGTTGTGCAGCCTTTGTGACAAGCTTTGAGTGCAGAGCAATGCAGTTGGAATCATTGGAATTTCAACTTGCATATCAGAATTCTTGCTATTCTTATCTATTCTTCCATCACAATATTTCAAAGAGTTTGGTCAGGGAAGAACAGGAATGGAGCTCAAAGGTTTCTGAGATGCAAGTGTTGGTGCACCGACACTGTGAGAGACCGACGCGAGAACGGCGTTCGCGAGAACGGCGTTCTCGTGCGCTCTCTGAGGCGCTTTGGGACTGCGAGGAGGCGCTCTCTCGCGGCCATTGATTCGTCGAGCCCTTCGGTGAAATGGGTCAAACGGGAGAAAGGCCAATCATATGCGGTGAGAAATCCTTTGGACATCGTGTAAAAAGAGGGTGCAGCATGCAACGCAGTATTTGTTCTTTACTATGCTATGCATTACTGGCTTCAAATGAAACAGTCAAGCAGGTTGTTGGTTTGAGGAAAGGGGATGGGAGCAACCCAAATTTGTTGGTACTTTGCATAGAGTTGAGACAGCCAGCACCAAGCTTTGGCTTTGAGAAAGATATTGAACATTGAAGCAGAGTTAAAGACGTTGTTGGTATGTTGACCTTCACTGCAAGACCATGAACAAGGAGCTTTATCATGCAACAGCTATTATACTTTAATACCTAACGAACGTATTGTTTTCCAAGGCAAAGTCCTTGCCGCAGCAGGAAGGACTCCAGACTTTGCCGCCTGAGATTTAATGTGGTGATTCACAAAGAATCACTTGAATTTGCTGGAATTTGAGCTCACACGAATTTAGCAATTGTAAATTGTATGTGTATATACTCAGACCTGCCTGCAGAACACTTGCACGGCTGGCCCTGTGGCGTCTTGAAACCTGAGATGGCCACACTGTACGTTATGCGTGATGCCCCAAAGAAGCGATGATTCATGCGCTTCTACGGCTTCTACCTCCTGTTGCCTGTCCACTGAATGACAAAGAATGCTTAATTTAGGCCAGGACAGGTTGGTAGGTTGGTTTTGCGTAAAGACAGTCTTTTTATTCAGGAATCTGCGCAGATTCGTGCTATGACCTCTGTCATAGAGTCTCAGTTTGACAAGAGGATCAAGGCTGGGATTGTGACAGCAGAACGGCTACAAACATGGCAAACTTGGATTTGCAGGAGAAATCTTTAGGTGAGGGGATATGTCTTTTAAGTGTTGAAGCCATAGAAAATAGAGCCGCCATGTGAGAACTTGTGACAACAAGACCAGAACAGATAAGGTAAGAAGAGAAGACATGGAAAGAACAAAGGGCTGTCTATATAGTTAACGGTTCAAGAAAAGACCAAAAGAAAGAGAAAGAAAAAGGCAAACTTCCCCAGAATGCAAACAACACATTAAAAACAGGTCCAAACGGAAGCACTTCAACCGGTCTCCGGTCAGGTGATCAAGGCCGGTGGTGAGGCGAATTACACGCTGATCACCAAGACGGCCAAGGCGGGACGACCCGTCTCCAGAGAGCGTCGCCAGCGTCGCCGCCTTTCTCGTTGGATGCGTCGCCAGATGCGATTTGTGACTTTATTTCGTGTGTGTTTAATGTGTGTTCTATGTCTTCCTTCCAGATGGAGTGTACGGGTTCACTTTGAGGGTGGTGGGTCCAGGATGGGCTCGGTCCAAGAAAGCTTGTAGAGAGCAGTGAGCAGAAGATAGAAGCAGCAGAAGAACAGTATTCATTCGGAGTCCTGTGAGTTCTTCGAAGGCCAAAGCCAAAAAGATGGTTTTGGACACTGAAGCGAAAGTGCTGGAGAACATCAAGGTGGAGAACAGTTGTTGTTTGAATACATTCTCCTGTCCAACCGTTTTTGATTCATTGCTGTACTCAATACTCTTTTCTGTACAAAAAAGATGTTGCAAAGGAAACAATTTGGCATGGCTGCAGACTATCTATCGATCTGTGTGTGTTTTTTTTCTCTCTCTCTCTCTCTCTCTGAGGATCAGCTTCATCTCGTTAAGAAGGACTTGGTATCGTGCTAACGGCGAGTTTTTGAGTTCAGCGATTCATCATTTGCATGCGTTTTGACTTGAACTTGTTTCCTTCTTCCCAATAGGCTAGGGTTCTGCGAAAAAAAGAGAGAATCTGACGCATACGCAGGTTTGGGGACCTACCACAGGTTAACTTGAGTCTACAAACCACTATGTATGCTGTACTTGCATGGTGTTCAGCTGCTCAGAGAATTCGCTTTTTAGAGGCATAAATGTGGTTGTGAAGACATGCTTCGTGAATCATTCAAGAGGAAGGCCCAGCAAAAGCGACATGTGACATGTCAAACAGTTCGCTTTTAAAGAAGTCACACAAAGAAGTCAGACAAGAAGTCACACAAGAACTGTTACGCCTCACCTTTACGTTTACCTGACCACATCACACATCGCCCTGCAGGTCCTGCACTACATCAAAAATGCTTCCCCACTTCATACATCACGAACCACATTGACCACACATTGACATGACAAAGTCACATCACCCATCACATTCGCTACTAGGAGCAAGAAGCTACTAGGTTGGAGGCCATCGCTATTAGGTTGGAGGCCTATAGGTTCTTTTTAGTGTGACACCTCCGCCCGCCCATCCCCTTTGTTAGTGTTTGGTGTTTGGAACTGGTCACGAGATTTTCTCCCACAAGCTGTAAGCTTTTAAAGGTAGACTCCTGCAAACTCAAGTCAGCTTTGCTTTCGTGCTCAGAGCAAGGCTAAACGTGCGTTTGATTGTCTCAGAATTGCAATCAACATCACCGGAACAGCTGAGCAGAGTTGCATTGAGAAGTGACTTGAAGATCAACCATGTTGTTTCCATGGTTGAAAAAAGCAACCAGCAAAGTCTATGAAGTTATAAGACCCTGTGCGGAACGCATACCAGGTACCAGCGATATGCTGCATTGCTTTGACCTCAGAGCTGTACAGGGAGAACATCATCGCAACCACTCACTTACCCCACTCCCATGCAAGTCTCAAGCTGAGTTTTGAAGTGAGACGAGGCCCATAATGAGCGATGCCAAACTTTTCTATGGATTTGGCAGTGAGTCTCAGGTGAGGATTGCTTGCTGATTTATACAATCCTTTGTTTCCATTCAAAGCTTTACATTTGATTTGGATCACCTTTCTTCGTCGTTCGCACAGCTTGCACATACTCGTTCGGTTCAGGTACTTGTGGACGCTCCCAGAGTTTGAATCTCAATCGTCACAGGGCTGGAACACCGATTGATTCAGCTCGTACATCTCAGGCTCCGGCACGTGTGCTGCAAGGACCAAAGCGAGAAATCCAGAATCCTAGTATATCCTAGCAAGTTTACAAACATTGTTAGAGGTACGCTCATGGCACCATATGGCTTCCAAGCACTTGGCAAAGTCCTTCAGGATCCTCAGAGCATTTGGAAAAACTTCCAGATGGTCCCACAAGAGAGGAACTCTGATGGCTTCAGAAAAGGGCAGCTCTATCGATCATTGCTGGGGGAAATCATGGGAAATCACAGAATCTCGAGCGTGCCAAAGCATACACGTGATTTTTTTGTCAGAGATTTGGCTCCAATTCGTGGGTCGGCTTCAAGATTCACTTCAGCCTCAAGAAACAAGATACTGCCGACCGAAAAGCTGTCACTCTACCAGCCCACACAACGCAAGCCTTTGAGAAGATGCAACCAATAGCCAGTCGAGCTTGCAAACCCGGGCTTTCGTAGAATGATATTCGATTGAAATGGTTGTGGCCTTTGATTTTAACTGTGGGCCTGGCAACAGTTGGTTCAAGCCGCTTGAGAGTGACTAGAACATATTAAAACAATTTACTGTAAAACACATTTGTTTTGGCCAGGTCATGTCACCGATCCACGAGAGGATCGTGGAACACTTACTTCTTTGAGGGGGTTGTGATATTGTCCAGACGTCACTTAGTGCCTTTGCAAACTGTCCAGCCTCCTGCGGCTGAAGTGATTGACCCTTGTCAGGTGCAGTTGAAGTTTCTTGGCGAAAGGACATAGAGTGACGTAGTGCCACAGCTGCTACAGCGAGTGAGCGCTGTAGTAGCTCGCCGCTGAGGCTGCACGTGAAGCTCCAAGCCCCTGGACCAGGCGAACGCTTTGCCGTTTGGCTCCCAGTTGGAACTCAATTGGAATGCAGCTTCAAGTTTGCTACTTTTGGTGCCATTGATTCTTGTTAAATCTTGTTTAAAAAAAACCAAAGTAATCGAATACTGTCTTCGTTCGGAGTTCCTCACGGTTCACTAAAAGGAGGGGACTGAAGGGGACGACTTTGAGCGGAACCCAGTAGGCCCGGTAGCAGGCAAATGCCTCCAATGGCCTTTTCTTTCACAGTGAGATGAAAGCGATGCAGTGCCTTCCATTGGAGTTGATGCCAAGGTTTTGGGATCTCATGAAGCGCTTGGCTGCTGGGAGCTTAGTGGCACTTCATTCGAAGGGCGGACAGGAGAGAGACACAACCAAAGGTCGATACAAAGCTAAAAACAAAAAAGTCAGGTTTCAAGAAGTGAAGAACGTGAAACATGAAAACAAGAGTCGAAGAACGATTGTACAGCCACTAGAAGTCTCGAGACGAAGAAACGAAAGGAGAGGAAGGAAAGGGAAGGCTTGGGACTGCAGTTTCAACTCTACTCAGGTTGGAACCCAAGCTCTGGCTTGCAGTAACTCGCCAGTTTACGTTCGTCACGGCAAGGGGACACGGTGATCCACACAGTGATCAGAGAGCCCATGTTGGCTTTGCTTGGACAGGGTTTGGTAAATAGTTTTACAGTCACAGCTGGTGTCATGCCAGGTTGGAGTGGAAGGGCAATGCCTGGGTCCTTTTCTCCTGTTTAGTTCCTATATATATATATAAGTTTATTTGTTTAACATGTATTTTTTTCTCTTTGCAGGTTGTGCACTCTTGAGTGTCTACATGCCAGGAGACCCAAGATCCTGTTGCCATTTCACCGTGTGAGCGGGTAGAGTTCAAGTTCGTCCGTGTGCGGTTGACGCCTCAGAGGTGAAGCATTTGGTTCGTCCGTTGAGCACACCGTGAGTCTTGCAGGCTTGGTGGAATTGAATGGGAAAGTGGTCCAAACAGGGCTGGATGCCCAGCGGGCCTAGCCTTTGAGAGCTAGGCACAACCGCATAAACTGATCTCAGCTGGCTGACATTGAGGTCACTGAGTTCCCGAATTACAAGGGTGAGTTGTGCCTCCAGGTGACTTGTCATTTGATTTGTTCAGAGACCCAACTTCCAAACAGCTGTCGCTCAGGGGATTTTCAATGGCGAGAGTATACTTCAACCCAGTGAGCCCGACGAGGAGAGCATGGACACACGATTCGCTACAATCTGCTTTTAACAAGCAAGAATAGACCAACCAATCCAATGAGGTGTTCTTCCTTGGGATCGCTTCTTGTGAGCCATCCTTGAAGCACTTCTTGTCGTGTGTGTGTGTGTGACATATGCGTAGCTCTTGTTGTAAACGCTGAAAAGCACACCACAAGACGGATCATTCCTTCCTTTGCATACTGTTAGTCGGTACTCTCACTTTCCTCCCCTTGAAAGTCATCACTCAAAGCCAATGTAGCAAGAACAGAAACACCAAACGCTGCAAAAACAGGAAGGCACACAATCGCAATCTAACCTATTTTCAGACTTGCTCCCGCTTCCACAAGAATGTCGACGGATTATTCAGCACTGATTGGCGACAACATGCCAAAAGTTGTGGGTATCAGTGTGAGCAATCTGTCTTTTTTGTGTGATTCAACTGCTGGTTCCAACTTGTCGCATCGAATCAGTCACCGTTCCAAGCTCCGGAAATCGCCAAGTGCACTTGACAGGGTATCTCAACTACTGAGTTGGTTCAGCGTGAGGCCACGCGGAGAGGGGGGGGCAGGGCGGTGCAGAAAAGAAGCTTCAGAGATGGAGAGTTGGTATGCAGCATGCTCGAAATATACCAGACAGTTATAAGGTTGGAGGCCATGTCTATTAGGTTGGAGGCCATCGCTATTTGGTTGGCTCGACATATACCAGACAGTTACAATTTGAGTTGAT